TTGGCTCTACAATGGCCCAGTTCCACCAGGTCCCTGTGCTCAGCCTCACCCTTCCTTGTGGCGCTGGATATAATAATAATAATAATAATAATAATAATAATAATAATAATAAACACAATGTAATAAAGTGCAGCAGACAAAGAAAAAACTGCCCACTCTCAATCTAACCGTGAAGGCTCCTGCCTCCTTCAGTGCCAAGATTTCTGAGCTGTCCCAGATTTCAGCTCTGCTCTGACACAGTTCCTTCTTGACTTGTGCCATCCTGCAGTTCTGAGTGGCTTTGGACGTTATAGCTCCATGCTGCTTTGTCAGCACAAACCTCCAGTTGCTCTGCCTGCCTCTCAGTGGGAACCCGTGCTGGAAGAGCTTCAATTGCGCTTATTGGGTTCCAGGTTCTGCCTGGTGCCGGTGGCCCTGAAGCTAAGTCATGGAGAGTATTACAGCTTTAATCCACTGTCACCATGGACAGAGCTGTACCTAGGGATGCGCAAGGGAGTTTTAGTTTGTTATATGGAAAAATGAGTTTCTACTGTATGCAGGAGAAATCCCCAATGTATTGGTTTGCTAGGCTGCCATAACAAAATACCACAGGCTGTGTGGCTTAAATAACAGAATCCCTCCCCGCAACAGTTCCAGAGCCTGAAGTCTAAGATCAAGGTGTCGGCAGATTGAGTTTCTTCTAAGTCCTCTTCCCTTGACTTGCAGGGGCCTGCCTTCTCGCTGTGTCCTCATATGGTCCCTTGGCCTGTGTTTTCAGTGTCCCAACCCCTTCTCATAAGAACACCAGTCATATTGAATGAGGGTCCCTCTAAAGGCCTCATTTCAACTTAATTACCTCCTTAAGTACATCCTGCATCTTCAAATGCAGTCACATGGTGAAGTGATAGGAATTAGGACTTCCACATACAAATTTGGGGAGATACAATTTGGCCCATGACACCAAATTTGCCAAGAAATACATATCCATAAAGAACACAGACGATAGAGGAAGAAAAACAGAAGGGTTCTGAGATGTCACTTCTCCTCAAAGGGCCAATACAAGGAGTATCCCATTTTCAGAGGTGAGAACAAAATTGGGAATGAAGTCTAGCAATTCAAGAAAACCCAAGTTTTTAAATATTTATTTTTCACAATAGGTATAACTGGGTCTGAATTTTTAAGTTAAAATGCAAAACAAACACGGTTTCTTAATGCTTAAACTTTACTGGTCCATAGTGTGACCTTACTGAGGTATGAGAGACCACAGCGTCCTCCTTTGAGTTTCCTGTAAACTAATAATCGAATCATGAATCTAACCTAGGTTGCTTAAAAGTTTTGAGTCCCATGATTCCCTCTATTTTCTGGACACAAGCCTTCATTTAAAGGACACACTGAATCTAATACTGTTGCAAGCAAATACTGCATTATATTGGCTTTCTTGGCCTGCATATTTTAAGGGTACAAACTTCACGTGAGAAATTAAAACTTTTCACAAAATACTTTCTTGCGTCTGGAAAGGTACAACTTCAACCCCAAAGCATATGTTAAACTGGAAGGGTAACATCCTGTGTCTATAAATTTCTCAGGGTCCCAGTTTTGCTAGGAAAGGTGCAGATAAATTATAAAGCAAGGTTTCTGCTTCAGAGAGGTGTTTGCAACCACCTTAATTTTCTGCTTTTATGGATTCCATGGCAAGTGAAAGCTTTCATTAGAATAATTAAAACACTACTCTCCTGCAGAAGAGAGAAATGATTCATGCTGGGCTTCTAGGAACTGGTGACATCCCAGATAGCACTTACCTAGATGTGCATTTTGTTGGCTGGGGGAAAAAAAGACAAACGGGGGCATAACACAGACTGCTGAATGGCATGACAGCATCTGTGTATGAAAGGCATTTCTGTTCTTACTAGGCGGTCTGATTACATGGCTCTCAAATTTCCCCTTAAGCCTCCTGAGATGTGTGTGAGGTGCAACCTTGTAAATTGTCAGCACATAGAAAGCTAAGATTTAGAGAGTGGTTTCCAATGTGCATCCTATAAAATGTGTCCCATGAGGAAGATTAGTATCAATCACAGGCTTATTGGAGAGGGAGATGGGATCCAATGATAACCTGGCACTATCAACTAGAGTAATGGTCTAAGAAGAAAAAGCAATCAGAGAGGAGAAAGGAATATCCACAAAGAAATACTGAAGTAGAAAGTCAGAGTGCAATGTATCATATTGATGAACAGGAGCTGTTATCCAGGACAAAGGCTCATGTGAACAATGCAGGTTCTCACACAATTGGATATTGCCTATTGCTTATCTTAAGGAGAATGGGAGGAGACACACACATATCACATCAAGCCATCAAGCATCCTGACTCGAGGTATGGCGGTAACAAAACGTAATGAAGTCATTAACACTCAGGAGTCTTACCTGTACTATTTGGGAATCATTTGCTAATTCCACAGGGTTCTATAAGAGGAACCGCATTCTAGTTTCACAGAGAACTTCATCTTGGAAACAAAAACAACATACCCCTGCCCCCAACCAATTTGGTTTCTTGGATTCTGGTAGAAGTATTCGAGTCATTATTCCTCAGGATGTGAGTTTATAAGCAGGGGATGGAAGAAAGGTTTGAATACTTTTTTAAAAAGAGACTGGTTTGACTACATTTTTTAAAAAGACTGATTTGAAGTTTTCCATCTCCTCAAATTCTTTGACACTTCCCTCATCAAGAGGTAGAACCTAATTTCCCTTGCCCTAAATATGGGCTCATCTTAGTGTCTCACCTGCAATGAACAGAATGCAGTGGAAAGTGTCACTGTGTGGCTTCTGTGGCTAGATCAGAATTGGTGATGTGGCTTCTGCCTGGCTCTATGTCTTGGGACGCTCCATGCTGCAAACCAGCAGCCATGCTGTGAGGAACCCCGGGTAACATGAAGAGGACATCTGTAGGTGTTCCTGCCTATAGCTGCTGCTGAGGTGCAAGCCACCAGCCAGCATCAGCCCCCAGAGGGGTAAGGGAGCCTTTAATGATTCCCGCCTCAGCCTCCATCTAACTGCAAATTTCAGAATTCTGAGAGATAATAATCATAAACGATTACCAAGTTTAGGGTAGTTTGTTACTAGGTGCGTTCAGTAAGAGGCATGGCATAAGGCTGGGCACAGTGGCTCAGGCCTGTAATCCCAGCACTTTGGGAGGCTGAGGTGGGCAGATGTCTTGAGTCCAGGAGCTCAAGACCAGCCTGGGCAACATGGCAAGACCTCATCTCTAAAAGAAATACAAAAATTAGAGGAGTGTTGTGGTGCACACCTACGGTCCCAGCTACTTGGGAAGCTGAGGTGGGATGATTGCTTGAGCTTGGGAGGTGGAGGTTGCAGTGAGCAGAGATTGTGCCACTGTACTCCAACCTGGGTGACAAAGTGAGATCCTGTATCCCCACACTCCCCGACAAACAAACAAAACAAAACAAAACAAAAACATGGCATAAGCGTCATTCTCCCTACACCCCAAATGCTAGCTCTCCAATGAGAAGGAAGCTAGAAATACTTTGGACCGCCTGATGAGTGCAAGACCCTAGTCTCAAATGTCTCTTAGAACCACATTCTAGGCACTTAAAAAATGTCAATTACACATGAATCCCCTCAAAAGCGTGCTTGTTATCTTCATATACCTCATAAGGAGGCTCCACAGTTGAAAAAGCATCCCCAGTTTACAGCTCAGAGTGATTGCTGAAGACTCTGCTTCGTGTTATTAGCACCATTCGTTTTCTTCGTGGTCAGAATAACATGGGTGCTTGGCTCAATTCTTTACATTATTTTTACAATAAAAAACCAGTCTGACAGGTTTTCATGTAACACATGTTCTGGATCTTTTGCTAAAGTAGTGTATTGGCAACGTGGCTGGGTATCTGGAGTTTGATTCCAAGGGCTTTTAATTTTCAGGGCAGTTTAAAGTGTAAGATAGGAATTTGGGGGTTAGAAATGAACCATCAGACAGACACTCCTACATTTCCATAACTATGAGCAAAACATCAATATTTAAATGTGACAAAGCACATTTTTGAAGACATGTGCCAGAGTTGCAGGCACACCCAAGGTGAGTTTTCTGGCAGAAAGAACCAACCGCCTAAACACTTCAATTGCAACTGGACAAGAACTTGCAGAAACCCTTCTGCTACTCATATCAGTGTGAACAAAGGACTCGGGCCTGATTGTTCCATGAAGCTGGGCTAATGATAAATTCTGTGCAGAAGTTCCTCCAGGCCAGCCTGTGGAATTAACTTGAAGTGGAGAATGAGATGATGCTCCAGATAGTTTGGGGAACTTTTTGGAGGAATTGCCTGCCTGCATGAACTACTTTGAGCTCTCCACTTCCCTTCAGCAATGAAGATGCAGGCTCCCGTGGTGAGAATGCATGAGATTTTGCGAGTCTCACACCACAATATGTTGAGAACAGAACACAGTGATGAAAACAAACCTGGCACTGAAGGGCTTTCTCTTGCCCAATGTCACCTCTTCTACCAGGCACTTCCATGGTGACAACAAAGTGCACTGCCCTACAATTTCACTCAGGCAGCAGAAGGGGGCTCCTTTTTGTTTCATGTATTCTATCTAGAGAGAAGATGTGTTCTCAGTGTTCCATGCCAGCAAGCAGTGGGAAGTATTTAATCCCTCTGCCTGCAAAAAATGACCTTTGGGAAGATGCAGGGGTATTTCCCCACTGCCCTGACATCTAAAGCATGTGATTTCTATACAGTGGAACAGTTTAAGGGAGATTGAATTTTTTTTCCCTCCCGAAAGCTCAGGGGAATTGATATCATTTCACTGCTTCCTCTAGAGGCTTCAAGGAAGTGATCTGTCCAGTCAGCTAGGAGCTGGGCTGAAGCCACCTGAGTCCCTTCTCAGCCCCTGTCTGACTCCCTTGTGAAATGCCATGTGCAGCTGTTAGGTGGTTTCCTTGCTTTTCCTGCTTAACAGGATGGCTTTGCAACTCCTGGCAGTTCAGTAAGAAAGAAGACATTTGAGAATGATAGTTGACTCATGACAATAATCATCACCATTTATTGAACACTTATAATGTACCTGACATTCCTTATGTAGAGCTCACTAATCCTCAAAACTTGTGGCAGTTACTTCATCCTCTCAATGACAGGTCAGAAAACTGAGGCTTTAAAAAGGTTAAATTACTTTTTCAAGGACATTCACTGTGTGGCAGACGCAGGATTTAAACTGAGGCCAGATTCCCAGAGCCCAAATGGTGTACCACATGTTTCAGCCTCTTGGGAGTGACTAAGATCAAGGGCTATGGAGTCAGTGCTGGGTGATCTGCCTCCTCCTCGCTGTGTGGATTTGCACAAATGGCTTTTCCTCAGCCCCAGTTCTCCTATCTGCAAGATGTGTACAGTAACAGTTCTCTAGAAACCTGTCGCTTGGGGTTGTTGTGAAGAATATGAATGTTTGTAAGTGGCACAGTGCCTCGTGCATGGTGAGTAGTCAGAAGATGGCTGTGTTGCTAGGATTCTGAATTTCTAACTGTTGTTAAGATTCTTAACTGTTGATAGGAAGTTGGCTTATGATCTATAAAGACTCAGAAGCAAAAATGGGGGTATCATGATGGTGAGAAGATGAAGGTGTACCAGAATTTTTCTAAAGGGTGGCTCTTTCTAGAACTCTCCTTCCTGATTTCTTTTGTCTTTATTTTGTGAACCTCTGATACAATCTTCTTCTTCTTCTTGCCTGAAGTTGCCTAATGGAAAAGAACTCCATCATTCAGAATGAAACAAAAACTGCTCAGCACCAATGGAGGATCTCTGATGGATTTCAGTGTGGGTCCAGGGGTGTCACCAAGGCTAAGGTTAGAAGAGAGCTTAGATAGATTGCGAATCGAATCTTTGGCTCTCCAGATGTAGAAACTGAGGCAGGGCTAATGAAGCCCTTGTCTGTGGACGTCCTGAGTAATTCTCATCCCATGTGCAGTGTTCTTTCCATTGTACCATATTATGTCTCTTTACATATTATCTCTGTAATATGACCTCCATATTCTGAAGTTTTCAATATTTAATACCAAATCCTTATCTCACATTCATTCTTTCTCATACTATCGAGATTTACAAAATCCTACATAAGAACTTTTAATAATATTCAGCAGACCATTACTTTTCCTTCTACAACATAAGAACACAAACCTTATTTAGTAACATGTCAACAGCACTGCAACATTTCAAAATGAGGAGGTTTCCCATTTAAAAACATAAACATAAAACCTAGAATTCTTTGGCCTCCCTTGAAAACTCAGAGGACCTGGATCCCTGGGTCCCTCTTGCTTATGATGACAGTCATGCAGAGCAGAGAAGCAGCCCTGATGTGCAGAGAGGCCACGTGCCCATGCCCTTGACCCTCACCCACGCCAGCCTTGCACACGGATAGCTCCTTCCTGGTTCCCCAAGGCGTTCGTATTTGCACCCCCTAAAATCATACCAGTTGGAAAGCTACCAACTCTACTCTCCAGTGAACAGAGAGTAAGACTGTCTGTCATCTTCATATCTTGTGGAAACATCCCCTGTTCTACTTCATTGATATTCCGATGCTGAAGAAATAGAAATTGATGTCAGATGCACTCACTACAAGTGTCCCCCAGTGTTTATTGCTTGAGAAGGAAAGGAAAGATACTGTGTGTTTACTTTTTTTTTTTTTTTTTCCTGATTACAGAGTCTGTAACACAAGCTAGGACTAGGGATTTTTCTCCCTTCATGCTCACCAACTCAGAAATATTACGAGAAAGCCCAGTCTCATTCCCCTGCCCCCTCTCCTTTGGTTCAATGATTGTACCCGAACTTGGAGCACACAATGCACCATTCATGCCATTGTTAATTTCCTTTCCTTTTAAATTGCTCATGTCACTCAGAAATAAGAGGTCTTAATAATGGGGCTTATCACATCATTTCTCAAATAATTATGAGTACATTACTTTCACGAAATTCAACAGGAAAGACTGAAGAAGTTGTTGAAGATTCTAATTTCAGTGCAGTGTCCCTTTCCCCTTTTGTGGATGTAGGACCGTTGAAAGGCTTGAGAACCATGTTATTTTCTCCAACATGAAACAATTCTAAAAAGAAAAAGATGTCATTTAAAAGGGTGTGCATCCCAGTGAGTTTTTTGAGTGACATACAAAGAGGCCAAGTCAGCGTTTAGTTTACACAATGAAAGCAGCTGGGACAGAGAGCCTGGCCTTAAATCCCGGCTCCATCTCTAATTAGCACCAAGTGACTTTGATCAGATCACTTAACCCATATGGCCTTCTTTCAGGGGGCAGGGGGCTGGGGGATGTTTGAGTGTGCAGTGACCATTGTGCACTTTGTAGAAGAGGCATTACCTCCAGAAGTGCTTGACAGTGACTGAAAGGAAAATTTCAAAATAGCACACCCCCCCCACAAATATGTGTAATTATTATGTATCAATAAAAAACAAATAAATCTTTTTCCTTCTAGCAAGAATGAGGATGAGTGGAGAAGGAGGAGGAGGAGGACTAGAAGGAGGAGGAGGAAGAGTTGCAGGAGGAGGAGTGGGAGGAGATACAGGAGTAGGAGGAGGGGTAACTGCAGGAGGAGGGGGAGGAGATACAGGAGGAGAGGGAGGAGATACAGGAGGCGGAGGAGATACAGGAGGAGGGGGAGGAAATAGAGGAGGATAAGGGGGAGGAGATGCAGAAGGAGGGGGAGCTACAGGAGGATGAGAGGGAGGAGATACAGGAGGATGAGGGGGAGGCATGGAGAAGGAGGGGATGCGGGGGTAGGTGGAGGAGATTCGAGGGGAGGAGGAGGAGATGGAGGAGGGTGAATTTGGCTAGAGCTGAAGCTGAGCCCCGTACCTTTCAGGATGCTGGGATCAGAGGCCTGGTTCTGAAAAGAAAGCAACTTACAAGCTCACACACGCCTCCCCTAACAGGCCCCTGGGTCTCTCCAGCCCACCTCTCCTCTTTTCCTCCTTGTATTTGGGGCTCTAACCTTTTGCCTGTGAAGCCCTGTCTTGCCTCTGGGGCTTTGTATATGCTGTTCCCTCTGCCTGAAAAGCCCTCTCCACTTGGTTCACTCCTGCTGTCCTTGATGCCTTATGTCATTTCCTCAGCACAGACCTTGCCGGAACCTCTGCCACCCCAAGATTGAGGCAGGTGCCCCTCCTCTGAACCCTCAAAGCACTTCCACTTCAACCGCCTCAGCTCTGTCCATATTGTATCATTTTTGCCTGCATTCAGGTCTGCAAGCTCTTTATTTTTAATAAAAACAATTAGAACCATTTTTATTGATACATAATATATGTACATATTTACGGGTGGACTGTGAGCCCTTTGAGGACTGAGCTACAGTATTCACAGAGTAAGCACTACTTCTGATGCGTCTTGAGGGTGTTTCTGGATGAGACTAGCATTTGAGATGGTGGACTCAATAAAGTAGCTGGTCCTACCCAGTGTGGCTGGCATTATCAGATCCATTGAGGGCCTGAACAGGACAAAGAGTTAAGCAAAGGATTAACAACCTATTTTTCTGCCTCAGTGCTTCAATTAGGACATCTCATCTCATCTTCTCCTGCTTTTGGACTGGGATTTATATCATCAGCTCCCTTGGGTCTCAGATTGGACTGACTTACCCTACTGGCTTTCCTGAGTCTCCAACTTGCAATCTGCAGATCACGGGATGTCTCAGCCTTGGTAATTGCATGAGTCAACTTCTCATAATGAAGCTCTGTGTGTGTGTGTGTGTGTGTGTGTGTGTGTGTGTGTGTCTGTGTGTGTGTGTGTGTGCCCTATTGGTTCTGTTTCTCTGGAGAATTCTGACGAATACTGAGTAAGCTCAGCGCTTAATACTGTGCTTAGCACGTGGTAAGTTCTCAATAAATATTTGTTAAGGAAGTCATTCAAATTTTTAAACCTTAGTTTTCTCTGCTACAAAATACAGATTTTAAAATACTACTCTTTCCACTTTGCAACACCTTGTGAGGAAAATCATTTTTTTTTCATAGGGCCACAATTCCCCGAAAATTCCACTCTGATTATTTTCTAGTGATTCATCTCAGATCCCAGAGGCTTTTATCAGGTCCCAGTGTGCAAGAAAAAAGGCCAGTTGGCTTGGGAGAACAGAGCTGGTGAGGAAGCTTATGTGGAAATCTGAGTCTATGTCTCTGCTTCCTTCATGATCTATTGGCCTACCACTGGGGCTCTGCTGACCTGGGCCAGTGACTGCTTTCAGAAGCTGTCAATCAATGTGGACAAGCACACATTCCATTTTGCATCTTCTGAGAGGGTGGTAGTTACTGTCATAAAATCCACTGCTTGGATCATTCCAAGCCTTTTCCTGGGAAGGGGCCGGGTGAGGGGACCTTCCTTTTTATATCCTTTTTTCATAGCTTTTCAGAAAAGCTGCACTAAATCTGCCATTGCCTCCTGCTAATTGTCTGTAAATCACCCATGTATGAAGTTCCACATGCTTATCCGTCAGCATAAAATTGAAGAGCCCCACACAGTCAAAGGCCCTGATGAGGAATCCTGTCATTTGGCCGATGGAATGGTAATAGATGTGGAAGTAAGTGATGCATAATGGATCATGGGACTTAAAATCCAGCCTCCACATCCGAGCTGCCTGAAAAGGTTAGAGGATTATGTGGCTGCAACACATCAATTATGAAATAGAAAACACTCTCCCTTCCCCTTCCATCTCAGAAGGTGGTAAACATTTTATACTGATTCCCCCTGTAAGTGCAAAATTCTCTTGCTTTTATGGATGAGGCTAGGGTTTAAGTAAGTGGAAGGGATAGGGAAACATGGTCCTAAGAATGGCAGGCAATGATCCTTTACTTATGACTTTATCCACAATTTGGCTTTACAATTGATGGGAAATGAAGTGTGATCAATTTCAGCAGACTGTACATCATTTCCCATTGACTGACCTGCCAAATCGTTGATTGAATAATTAGTTAAAGTTCAGTCTGAGCAGCTACTTTAAATAGCCCTCTCCAAGACAAGTCTTAATGGCATCCCAGAAAGGCCATCCAACTTCCAGGAGCTGGGACATTAATTGTTTATCCTTTCACTTAAGGTGGTAAGCCACTGTGTCAATGCAAATAAAAGTAATAGTCTCTCAGGAATCAATAGCTGCTGGGAGTGGGGCCTTGAGGCAAGTGCTTAGAAATATACAATGTAGCGTTAGGATGTAGGGATGGCTTCTCCTCTCACGGGGATGAAATGCATCCAGAGAAAATATGAGACTAGGAGAAAACAAATCATAACATGACTGCGGATTAGGAGAGGACGCTTTTCAGTGATTAAGACAGACAGCAACAGTTGGGTGAGAAAGCTTATAATAAAGACGATACGTAAAATCAAACAACAATCTCCCGGCCAAAACCCAGAAAGCCTTTAGCCCCATGCCTGATTACTTGAGAAGTATCAGCTGCTTTCCTTGACAATTCTAATTTCACAAAAGAGGCTGAATGACTTTTCATGCCTTCCATTGTCCAGGTGAATATCAGCATGAAACTGTGCACAGAATCACAGAGTAGGCTTCAGAAACAGAGTCTGACTTCCTGTTGAGACCTAGACCCTGGCTTGGGATTCTTGAGGTTATAGAGCTGGATGTGGAGATTCCACCAAAAGAGGACATGAATTGGGTGAACAGGTGGCTAGTTCTGGTTGCTCACCGTGCACCTGCAGGACCGTGGGGTGCCCTTGCCTTCTGTCCTCTTGTGCACACACTGCTCCTTTTGCCAGGGAGGTCTTAGCATATCAGCCTGCGCAACTGAAACTACTTTGTGACATAATGCAAGGCCTCCTTCTTTGGGGGAGTTTTTTGCACTTGATTTTCCCACCCTTAAGAAGTTTAAAGTGCCCTTGCCTCGTAAACGATAGGAATTCTCAAACATGTCTATGGAAACACCACATTAAGCTCTTGCTGGTTTTGCCGTCTGTCTCTACCACTCAGTTGTAAGATTCTTGGGGACGAACCATTGTTTTCTTCATTTCTGTATCCCCTAGAGTACTGCCTAATTCAGCCAAAGCACTCAATAAATGTTTGTGAATGAATAAATTAATCCAAAGATCTACTGTAAATCCCTTTTCTAATTCACCCATAATCTTGTTTAACATCAGCTAAAAAGCATCTAGAACAGTTTGTCATAAAAATCTTTTCCTTGGTTCACAAAGGCCAAGGCCTCTCCCACCAAGAGAAGGATCAGTCAATCCAATTAGGACCCGTCTTTCCCTGTCAGTGCAGAATACATAGTGAAGCTTTCCGGCTTTCAAGCGGAGATTTGAGGAATCGGCTTGCATTGCGTGTCCCCTACTACCCATAGTTTTTTTCTGGCATTCAGGGGCAGACATACTCCCACTCCCAGGTTGGGTGAAACCAAGATCTGCTTTGTATTAATGCTTTTCCTTATTTCTGGAGCAAGGAGTGACCTGGAATTCCTGTGGATTCCATACTCATGTCAGCAACTGACTGCTGGGGTTCTGCAAAATCTATTTTTCTATTGGCTGGGACATTATTCCACTGAGTATGTTCCTGGCCACAAACAGATGGTCTAATTTACTTAAGGCTCAAAAAACTCTTAAACGTTATTTCTGCAGAGAAGCATCTTTCTTTCCCTTCCCACAGACTTTTTATATCTCTCTGTTACCTAGTGATGCAACTCTCTCTAATCAAATTTCCTAAAGCTTTGGGTCACTTGGATCATCACAGTGTGGTAGTTAAAAGTCTCAGACTTGAGAATCGCCAGGTCTAGGTGTAAATTCAAGCTCTACCACTTGACTGCTATGGAACCTTGGGCAAATCATTTAGCTTCTTTGTGCTTCTCTTTTCTCATCTGTAAAATGATGTTAATAATACCATCTCCTTCAAAAAGTCATTGCGAAGATTAATTGCGATAATGTATGTAAAAGCACTCAGAACAATATCTTGTATATAAGAAGTAGTACTTACATACACAGTTACTATATTATTATCATCATCACTGTATTACAAAATAAAAATATTACTATCAAAATAATTATATTGTATTACAATAGAACAATATCTTGTATATAATAAGCACTTACATGCAGTTACTATATTATTATCACTATATTACAAAATAAAAATATTACTAACAAAATAATTATATTGTATTACATACCACATATACAAAATATAAAAACAAAATTATTTTATATACAAAATGAATATCAAATATTATTACAGATAAAATAAAAATAAAACAAGTTCAATTAGTCTAAAGTATAACCTTGTAAACTCCAATGGGAGATTGTGCTTAAGGACTGTAATTCCCAAACCTTGCCATGCTCTTGAATCACTTGGAGTATATGTTAAAAAACAAAAATAACTGGGCTACATACCCAGGGAATATCTCTAATGGCTTTTCTGTCCCGTAGCAGCAAATGAGCACTCGACGACTCCAGGGGTTAAGACGGTGCTGTCTTCAGCAATCACATTTTTATATCCCCAATTCTCCACCCCAGTTTGAATGTGTTGGTGACCTTGTACAGGCCCGAGGCACCACGGCATGTAAAACAAGACTGTTTCTACATATCCAAATGCTGCTTGGAGGCAGTGTTTCTCACGGCCAAAAGCTCTC